TTTGTTATAGGCTATTGCTTTTAGTTATTTCCTAAAAAGTTTTAATAGTTAATAATAATTATAAATTAATTTCATTTTAGATAACTTTTATTTTTTGGCTGTTACATTGGTGTAGTACCGCAAACTAAACGTTCTTACTATTAAAGGTGTTCTTTTTTACTTGGACAATGTAGTCAACATTAAATGATGTGGAGTGCACATTATTCTAAGGAAACATACTTTCATGATGTTCAAAATGTTCTACAGCCTATAACATTTTGTTGCAACAGTCTCAGATGTTTTATATATATATATATATTATTGAAGCCTTTGAGTTCAAAGGTACATTTCATTAAATATTTAATAATATTTAGGCCACGTACTATGAATTGTGACCAATAAATGTAAAAAAAATAAAATAAAAAAAACAGAGTAAATATAACAAGATGGTTAGTGGGGGTAGAATTAGAAAGCTGACTGTCACTCAAATATATATTTTTACTTTGATTAAAACAGTTGCTGGACATAGTATGTAATGGTGATTTAATTACAAGCAGAACAATTATGCTGTGGAGCATCAAGATCATCTCCGGTGATAGCTCTTAAGGTTGGATGAAATTTATCAAGATATATATCAGGGTCAGGACAGTTTCAAATTACACTTGTACAAAGCTAAAAAGCTTCTGAAATGCTGTCAAACTTTATTAAATTATTGGTCACTGAGAACAAAAAAGATTAAAAATGTTGATTAGCTCTAGTTTTCAAAATATGGTATTGGGCCAGTATACACAACCCTTTACTTGTGAATAGCAGATGATAAGTGCGTATTAGAAGGAAGGACTCTAAGGCCTGGTTAGACCAGGGGTGCCCAAACTGGGTCCTGAAGAGGGCCGGTGTGTCCTGCAGAGTTTAGCTCCAACTTGCCTGCCGGGAAGTTTTTAGCATGCCTAGTAAGAGCTTGATTAGCTGGTTCAGGCGTGTCTAATTGGGGTTGTAGCTAAACTCTGCAGGACACCGGCCCTCCAGGACCACGTTTGGGCACCCCTGGGTTCGACTAAACCGGATTAGACCACAGTTCAATTAGGACATTTAAGTAATTCTTATAAATGTGCCTTCGAAAAAAACATTACTGGTGTGCATCTTGAGACAATTCAAATACACTAATATATCTTAAGATCAGTCAGAGCAAGATTCTTTCAGTTGAAACAGCTCAGACTTATATTTTAGTCTGGGACTAGGCTTCAGCCTTGTCTGTGAAACTATGGGAATATTGGCTAAAATGGCTAAACAAAATTTTTGACTGGGTTTGGACAGTACTTCTGTTTTAGGCTAACCAAAGAATGATGCTGGTATTGTCATACATGATATGAATTGAGTTTTACTCCTAGAAGTCATTGATGTAATCATAAGAAAGCTTCTCGAAATTGTGCTTGCAAACTGTGTTTTAGGCTAACCAAAGAATGATGCTGGTATTGTCATGCATGATATGAATTGAGTTTTACTCCTAGAAGTCATTGATGATGTAATCATAAGAAAGCTTCTCGAAATTGTGCTTGCAGACTGTTGCTGAATAAGTGACAAGAGATGCTCTGTTCCTGTGGCTCAGTGGTAGAGCATTGCGTTAGCAGCGCAAAAGGTCATGGGTTCAATTCCCAGGGAACACACATACTGGTAAAAAATGTATAGCCTGAATGCACTGCAAGTCGCTTTGGATAAAAGCATCTGCTAAATGCATTAATTAAAGAAATTAAATTAAAGATGCTCCATTTAATGAATACAAGAAGCCCGGTGTTCTGTCGATTAGTGCTACCCTGTCAGATTTTGCTACCTCCCATTAAAACAGTGGGTAGTACAATTCGACAACGAAAAATACTACCTGTAAAATTATGGTTTATTAACTTCTACACCTACCACAACCCTAAACCTACCCTAACAGTAATGCAGATACAGTAATTATGTGTTATATTCGCGGTTGTAGCTAGAAGGGATGCAGTTACAGGAAACCAATAAATAATTTTTTCTACCTATTAGATTGTGTTTTATTGAAGTCTACACCTACCCCAACCCTAAACCTACCCTTACAGTAATGCAGATACTTTAAATATTGTTGTTCAGCATGAGAAAAAAAAGACACAATATTGATGTGCGCACGCGCAGTAAACCCTGGTAGGACAATCTGACGGGTAGGATAAAATATCAGGACACCGGCTCTGCACATTTCTTTATGTCTTCCTTATCTGACACAGTTCAGTTCATGGAGCTCTCGTCTAACAAGCTGATGAGCTGAACCAGGTGTGTTAAATAAGGGAGACATGCAAAATGTGCATAGCAGGGGGTCCCCATGACCAGGACTAAGACCCAGGTATACTTCGGATCGATACAGCCGAGGCACTGAGGTGCTGATCACAGGTGCTGATGCTGTGCTGTTCAGCTGAGCCAGATCTTACCCCTTTGAGGGACTCGTAGCGCTGAGACCTGGGCTTCTTGATGCCGTTCCTGTGCCACTTGCGAGCTGCAGGAACACACACACAAGAGGGTCAGGAGCACGCATACACGCACGCACACACACACACAGAGGGTCAGGAGCACGCACACACACAGGGTCAGGAGCACACACAGGGTCAGGAGCACACACAGGGTCAGGAGCACACACACACACACACACACACACACACACACAGGGTCAGGAGCACACACACACACAGGGTCAGGAGCACACACACACACACACACACACACACACACACAGGGTCAGGAGCACACACACACACACACACACACACACAGGGTCAGGAGCACACGCACACACACTCTCACACACACACACACAGGGGGGCACGCACACACACACACACACACACACACGGTCAGGAGCGCACACACACACACAGGGTCAGGAGCACACACACACACACACACACACACACTCACACACACACACACACACACACACTCACACACACACACACACACACACACTCACACACACACACACACACACACACACACAGGGTCAGGAGCACACACACGCGCGCGCGCGCACACGCACACACACACACACACACACACACACTGTCAGCAGTGGACACACAATACTTACACTGGTTGTGCGAGGTGTGGTTCTTCGACTTGGCCATTCCTGATCTCCGTCTGCTGGCGACACAAACACGACCGCTTCAGAGGAGACAGCACACACGCGTTACCGACAGCACACCGGAGGACCGCTAACGGCTAACGGCTAGCTAAACAGCTCCAGTATTTCACCCTCTGCCACAGAATCCCTCAATCCCGCGCTCGAGCTGCGCGCTGAGAGCCCCTCCACACTGCGCCGAGCTCAGCTTTCAGTAACAACCGACCCCTTCACAGGATTCACTCAGATGCTGTCGATACGAGAGAAACTCGCTACCTGCTGCTCGACAACCGGAAGAGAGAGCGCGCGCGCAGGGCATTGTGGGAGATAAGAGTCCCCTCCGCCGGAAGTGAAGTGTGTAATACAAATATGTCAACAGCATTCAAATCTATCCGGATGGGTCAGAGATTTAGACAATGTGTTTTAAACAGCGGGAAATCAGCCTGTAGACGGGAGATATGTCATGTGATCAAACCGGAGTACGTGTCAGTACAGTTAAAGCCGAACACTTCAGAATGCACAGACACAGTTACCGCTGTATGATTTCATGAAGTTATTTATTCATTTGCTTTTGATTATTGCTTTCACTCATCGAGGCGTCGCACTCATCCCAGTAGCTGGCGGAACTGCAGAAGCAGAAGAAGAAGATGTAAACAAACACCGTTTTGATATTAATAAACACAGTATTCTTCCTCCAAACAATGTAGCGCCTCAGAAACAGTTGTGGTTGCTACAAAGTGGTTGCCGAGCAACACACAGAAGTAAACAAAGCTGTGTGTTACTTTGTAGCGTCATGTACAACAGCTTCGAACGCGGCTCAGCCAATCAGAGTCAAGCACCGGAACTCCCCGCTTTATAACACAGAGTTACTGGAACGGTTCTTGCAGATGCCTCATGTTACTGTCTCCTGACTCCACAGCTGTACCGGTGACTGCAGTAGCTGTGGAAGCGGTTCAGCACGGAGAGTGTGACAGGAGCCCTGCAGGAGCTGCAGCACAGCACGTGTCCGGCAGGCGTCAGTGTGCGCACACATGACACAGAGAAGCAGCTCCCGTCAGAATGACCGAGCCAGACTCACTCTGTGGTGTTTAAAGAGCAGAGATGGAGGCATGCTCCCGATCTGATGATTTGTCTGTGTGAACACACAGCTCGAGTTAAAGGCTCTCTGTGACTGAGTGAGATCTGGCGCAGGATCCTGAGCTCTGGAGAGATGCCTCTCTGCCTGCAGTACCTGTGCAGCTCTCGCTCTGGAAGCTCTAGTGAAGCCCAAACAATCACACTCGCTGCTATTATTAGCGTCTTCCTCTAGAAGCCTTGCTTTCTAATGATATGCAGGGACTGCAATGCTCTAAATTTAGATCGGCGAACAGCCCTGCGCAGCTAGCGGAGCGACAAATCCCCTCTTTCTGAAAAACTCTTACAGCAACGTGCTTTCACATCAGTCCTGTGGGCCTAAAATGAACCGGAAGATCCCGTTATGACGTTTTGATGAACCATTACGAGTTTCAAAGCGGTCAGACATGATGTTTAAAGAATAAAACCCACACGGCTCATTTTAAAGTGAATGCATGGTTAAAGTGTGTTGATGTGTTCTGGGTGTAAGCTTGACTAATGCTCAGTCATGTTCTCCATCAGCACGCACACTTCATTCAGAAACGGCACAAATGCAGCCATTGTTCCTGAGGGCCATCCGTGACACTTCCGGCCCTTCATCCTAAGCCCGGGAGTCATGTGCTCTAGTGCTGTAATTGTGTAGTACGCACAGTCAGTGCTGGGTAGTATGTAATCTGGGTTACATTATCAGATTAAGTACTTGTAATTAGATTGTATTACTTTTTAAAATACTCATAATCAGACTAGTTACTTTTTTTGCTCATTACACGATTGCATATCATTTTCACAAGCCTGTGTCTTTGGTAGGCTCTTGTCTTCCATACACATTAAAATGCACTAATTCACAATAATTTACATGTAATGCAGTAATTCCCAAACTGTTTTTGTCACCCAAACCTCTTTCACCTAATATATTTACTTGATTGATAATGACTAAATATGACAATATCTTGATATTGTGTAGAGTTTTGTCGATAATGATAATCAGACGATATTTCTCTGAGTGTGTACATGTTAGAAACATGATAGCAACATGCTAGCACATTTAATGTGTCTAAATCATGTTAGCATTGTGCTAAACGTACTAGCAAAACTTTAGAAAATGTTAGCGACATGTTAGCAAGCTGCTAAAGCATTCAGTGTCTGAAACATACTAGCAATATGCTAAAACATTTTAGAAAATAATTAAAGCATGTTAGAAACATGCTAGCAATGTGCTAAAGCATTAATTGTGTCTAAAACATGTTAGCATTATGCTAAACATACTAGCAAAAATGTTAGCGAAATGCTAAGACATTCTGAAACCTAAACTTTCAGACAAAGGTTTGTCTAGCCTGCATCAAAATTTTGAAAGTTTTCAAACTGTATCTATCGAGTTCATGTCTGGAGCACACACACTGCGTGAACTTTAATACTTAGTGTTTGAGGTTTGGGCAGATCACTAACCCTGAGAGCAACAGTAGCAGTAAAACAACTTAATCTAGCCTAGAGGAAGAGATCTGTTCATGAGCTTCAGAACAGGTTCCTAACCGTCTTGAGTGTTCAGTTGAAGAGCCTCCCTACACGCCCCATCTGACAGCCAATGACGTGTGGGGGTGCGAGCACTTTCCTGTAGTTCAGACGAGGAAGGAGGAACAGTTGTGTGAGGTGTCTGCTACGGGAAGCACCACTATCATCATGATTCACGCTTAAAGACTGGAACTAATCCTAGCTAACCCTAGTAGAACACCTTGGCTCTTAACCTGTCCCACTCCGTTTGTGTTACAGACATGAATGATGTCTCAACATGCACAGTCACACACTATAGCCTCCAAACTTCAGACGGTGGCCAATCGGCTATAATACAAGCTTACACTATTTCGATAGACATTCTCCTGACTATAAACTAACGTTACAACTACATGTCAACGAGCTCTCGTTAATTTGCAACTACTTGTCAGCTAACTGTGTTTAGAGTATTAGTAGACCGTTAGGTTAGGGTTTGTAATAAGTTGACATGTGCTTGCGAAGCTACTTATAGTCAGTAGAACCTCATTCAAAGTGTTAGCAGACAGTCTACTAGCACTCTAATAACTGCTAATTGACATGTAATTACTATGTTATTTTGTCAGAACTCATGGCTACTTTTGAATGGCAAAAAAAGTGGGAAACAATGCATTTTGCCCTCCTAATGGATTAGTTGCATGATCACCACAACATCATTGGTACTAATCAAATGCACCGCTGTTCTCAGGAAGGAACTGTCGTTTCTTGTAGCCAGAGTACAGATATTCGCAACATGTCTTCGAGACCTGAACGGCCTGCATTACTCACTTCCCGTCTGAATGAATGCAGAAAGAGGTCAAGATCTCACACTCGGCTCATGCACTCATGCTCACACTCTCCTGCATTCCTTACAGGCTTTAATCACAACTCAACACAACTCAAACACAATAAATAAGCCTGGGAAATCTTTGCTTATGTTAAGACTGTGCGATTACTGCTATAATACTCAATCGATTTAAAACAGGTCATGACATGCCATTTTAAAAATGATTTTGAAATGTTCATTGAGGTTCACATGTGATGCTTGTAAACTTTTTGGCAGAAAACAGTCTTAGTATATTCACAAATGTGGCGGGAAACTAGAACAAAGGAAACAAACTAAAAGTCCATGAAAATGAAACTAAAAAAAAAACATAACCGTTACAGAACTAACGCAACTTTCTGTAAAGGTGCTCAGAGACCAGACTGTGAAGCGTTATACAAATGAATTTGACTTGGTCTATTTCAAGACAATTTCTTGGCAAAATTAAAGTAACAATCTTTCTGAACTTTGTGGTGTTTTAGTTTTAGTACGCCAAGTTAACTAAATTAAAATGCTTTGGCATCTAGCTGAATTTTACATATTTCATTTTATTTCAGTTAACATTTTTTTATTTTCAATTTTAATAGCCTTAGTTCTAGTTAACCATAATAAGATAAAGGGCCTTTTGCACTGCTTTAGTTCCAGAACTAAATGTACAGTACTAAAGTACTGGGACGATTTTGCGGGAACTATTTCGCAGTACCATTTAAAGGGTTGCATTCGCACCGAGAGAGTGTACTAGGACGAGACGTAAGCCGGTCAACAGCGTCGTCATTTGTGCGTGGCGTTCAACAACAGAAACAAAGGAGAACAACATTAACAACAGGAGGATGGAGGACGCTGTGATCGGAGCTGGGTTTGTTGTGTCTCGTGGGTTTCACAATAATGGACATGGAAAGGTGACGTATACGTAAAGCGACTGAAAGAACGGAAAGGAGGACTAGAATCTCCAACGACAACTGGCAGTGCTACATTTGCTACAAATGCCTGCACTTCAGCGTCCATCCATCTATCGCTGTTCTCCATACTTGCGAAATAAGTTGACATGCTTACAGTATGTTTACACGGTGTTTTAAATCATGGCGGGTGAGGGCGTTTTCATACGCGTTTGGCCAATCAATGTCTACTTACATCACGATTAGTACCAGTTGTGCTGGTCAGACCCTGCTCCGGAGTAGGAGCTAATTTGGTTCTCGAAAAAGGCAGTCCGGTACTAAAATCACTCCCAGTTCCGGTGGTGCGAACACGCCAAAAAGTGGGTAGTTCCACAATTAGTTCTGGTACTATGAAAAGGTTCCCGCGGCGCGAAAGGCCCTTAAGATTCCAAATATTGAATTTACAATTAACCAATATAAGATGTAAGCTATATGATTTTACAACAAAATTCAGCACACATGACATTAAATTGTTTGGCTGGATTCCATCTGCTTCTGTTTTCTGTCACTTTCAGCACTCTGTGAGAAGTCAGCTCAGACGTCTTGTTGTAACGGTTTGTACAGTCTGTCGCGACACAGCTCCTTCACGTTGTAGATGTGTTTATGCAGCAGTCCAGTGTTACTCACTGGATGCAGCGGGGAGACTCCCATCATGACCTCGTATGTGTCAGAGGATCCTTGTGACTCCTTTACAGTGAAATTGGTTTTTGAATGCTGTGATGTATTTGACAGTGTGAGAAGCTCATAAATGCAGAATGCATTCGGCGTGACTGAAGCCGTGCTAATAAACTGTAGGCTGTATTTGATGGATTGTAGATATTGAAGAAATGTAACACCTTGTAATCTGCCTCACTATCAGCATCCTGACGGAAATGTGTGACACAAGCGACTGACTGTTTCACAGA